TTGAATCTGTGTTCATTATAAACTCTACTTTTAGTATCATCACAACCTTAATAGGTATGTTATAAATTCTACCCTTCCTCCCAGGTGTTAGGGATTGCTGTGATAAAAGGTGTACATACAGTCAGTAAAACTCCAGCCCTCTTCCCTGCAACATACTGAAACCAAGAGGGTTACAACAGCTGAATCATATATACATTACAACCTCCATCCCTTGTTCACGTGGATCAGATTATAGGGTTTGTCATGTAACAAACACCCCTTGCTCTGGCAAAACACAAAACCTGCGGGGGTTACAACACTTGGCACATGTGTTCATTGCAAGCTTGCCCCCTCATCGCTGCAGACTGGGTTACTGACCTTAGCGCCCATTGCTTGCACCACATTGCAATGATGCAAACTTCCGAAGCCGGGATCAAGGCTCCTTCCGGCTTCCCCCTGCCTCCCTGTGCTACTTTTCACCTTTGCCCAACTGCCTACTGCTTCATCTCTCCTAGAAACTGCATCCAGTGCCTGGCCCAGCCCACTGAGGCTCAGGAGAAAGTGCTCAAACCAGCTCTTGTCTGCAGTTTATTCCCCAATGTGCCTCCAACCATCTACTTCAGTACTCGGGATGAGAGAGGTGAGCTGGGGTCTCTTGCTGTGCGGGGTGAGAGTGACCAGCCTGTTACTAGCAGGCTGCAGTGCCAGCACACAGCCGGGAGCTGGCTGGCAGCGGCTCTCCTTCACTCTTCCCATGATGAGACCCAGCACTGCTGTGAGATCCAAAGGGCTGGAGTAAAATGCTGGCTGCTCCCACAGCCTGGAGCATGAGTCAGGCTGCCACCAAATGTTCCAGCATCCTGGATCTCCCACAGCCATGGAATCTTCTGCTACATGCTAGTTCTGCAAAGGGGGCTACGCACTCTCCTCTGCAGGCCTGGTGCCTGTGCAGCAAACTATAAGAATTTCCCTGGGTGCAGCAATAGAAAATCTGGATATTGTGTTTGTTTTCCTTCTGTCCTTATCTTTTTGCCTTCCTAGTGGAAAAGCTGCCTTGGGAGCAGAGGAAACTGCTGCGATGGAAAATGTGCGCAGTCACACCGAACATAGTGAAGCAAACCGTTGGCAGGTCCCACTTCAGAGTCAGCAAAAGTAAGTTGTGGGAGGCTGGCAGCGTCCGACACGTGTCCTCCCTTGTCTCCAGCCTGTGGGCATGAGGAGGCAGACTGCAGGAATGATACAGGCTCGGCACTGCAGGATGCTGTGTTCCCATTTCTGCCTGTCTGACCTGCAATATCTGAGCTCTGTGGGTCCTCGCAGGGCCTGATCTCCCTCTTGGCTTGTCCCTGGCATGGACCACAAGGGCTTACTCCTGAGTTGTCAGGAGCTGAGGCAGTGTGTGGGGCAGCAGAGCTGTGCTCCGGCTTGCTTGAGCTGTGCCTCTAGATGGTGCTGCCACTCTAAGGAGGCTGGCACTCATCTGGTGCCAACCCCAGCACCACTGTCCCTTGTCCCCATGAGCCGAGGGAGAAGCCATCCTCTCTGACCATAGCTGGAGAGTTCTTAGGGTTGGGATCTTGTCGCTGAAGAGATGGGATGGGGATGGGGAAGCACGGAGCATTTGCAGCTGTGATCCATACCCTGGAGTGTGATCTCCCAGCGGTACCTATGGGAGTACTTGTGTGTATCAGGAGACCTCTGCGCAGACCATTTTGGGGCTATAATATGACACGCAGGGCAGAACAAGACCTAGGAAGTCTTGCAATCCTACCTGTCCCTCTGCAATGCAGCACAGATTAGCCAACTGCTTCATCCACCTGCTGTAAAGCAGGGGAGTCAGGGTGCTGGGGGGTTAAAGCCATTCCTTTGACCCTGTGTCTGCCCAGACCCTGGAACAGCCATGTTTGCAAGGACATGACCCACCTGGTTAACTGGATCCTACTCACAGCCCTTGGTTTCACAGCTTCATAGTAGCCAGTATGAGTGCTTTGTGCTATTGCTGTGCAGTATCCCTGCCACACTTCTTCTGGTCTGAGGAGATGGATTGCTGGTGGGTTGAGAGGGCGTTGTGGGTGGCAGGGTACTTGGTCATGGACTTTTCTGTTTTTCCTGCAGAAAGCAGTGACTGGCTGGGTTGCTGGGGCCACCACATGAAATCCCCCAGCTTCAGAGCCATCAGGGAACACCAGAAGGTAGGGGATGCTTTGGGCTGACCTCCTTCACATGCATGGAGAGTGTGTTGGGAGCAGTTTGGGTGCCCCTCTCTTCAGGGCCAGGTGTTTGCTGTGCAGGCTGTCCCTGCAGTGTCCCTTCTAGAGTGTGGCAGCTGGCATTCTTGCACTGGGAGATGAGCCCAAAGACAGGCGCAGCTGAGTGAGCATCCCCATTGTGAGGGTGGCTCTTGTACAGACTGAGGCTGTAACCAAGCTGTGTTGACTTGTGAACTTGTCTAAATTCAGTCACTGTTGTTTAACGCAGTCCTTTCTCTGGCACAACTGAGTGGTAGGGCCATTGCCCTCCCTGCCAGCGCATCCAGAGGGGATGTGCCTAACTCAGATCACAAAAGAGTCAGAAGTGGCCCATGGCTTGGGGAACATGTGAGGGACCAGAGGTTTGAAATCTGTCACACACGTATATTTGTTCTGGAGAGCTGTGATGCTCCAGACTGCTTGGTCTGAGGCAGCCCCCAGCCCTGTTCCTGTCCTGCTGCGGGGTCTTTCTGTCCCCAGAGCTTGTGTTGCATGGGCAGGACTCTGGCATACGGTTTAGAAGCGAGTGGGAAACAACTGGATACTGCCAGAGAAAGCTCAAAGGCTGAGGGTTAGTGCCCTGCGGCGGCAGCTCAGACATCAGAAGGGATGAGATGGCAGCTGCTGGCTTTGTAGCCGGTGTAGGTGACCATGTGGGTGTATGTCCCTGCAAAGCTTCAGGAGCAGGCGAGTCCTGTCTTGGTGCAATCCTGGGAGGGAAGCAAAGAGCGTTGCCTTGCACTGTGTTCAGAAAGGATGTATCCTCTGGCCAGGGAGCAGCAAGGGGTGGGCAGGGAGGTGGGGAAGCAGAGAGATCTCACCGCATCTGTGTTCCTTTCCAGCTAAACCACTTCCCTGGTTCATTTCAAATTGGGAGAAAGGACCGTCTGTGGCGCAACCTGTTGAAGATGCAGGCTCGCTGTGGGAAAAAGGAGTTTAACTTCTTCCCCCAGTCCTTCATCCTGCCCCAGGACATCAAGTTACTCAGGAAAGCGTGGGAGGAAGGAGCTAGCCGCCAGAAATGGATTGTGAAACCAGTAAGTGCAAAGCAGAGCTCAATCCTCTGTCCCCTTGTAGCTGCAGGGAGAAGATCTGATCCATTCTTGTTTGTGTTTTGCAGCCAGCATCAGCAAGAGGCATTGGTATCCAGGTCATCCACAAATGGAGCCAGCTCCCCAAAAGGAGACCACTGCTGGTACAGAGGTGAGTGAAGGAGAGCAAGGTTGACACACAGCCTGGGATCTCCTAGTGTCTAGTCTCTCTGGCCAGGTCTGGGCTACTGCCACTATATGGCAGGGCAGAAGCACCTGATTTGCATCTGGAAACATCTCAACTGCTTGGGTGTAATGCTGCTGCTGGCTCTGTCAACTGCAGCTGGGCTTGCCAGGGTGCTGCTGTCTCTGTGTAGATTTTTGAGGTCTTGGGTACAGCTTGGCTCCACGGGCTTTCTGGAGCTTCTGTCTTGCAGGTAATCAGCTTCAGCTTTGCTGTGATCCTGCTCCCGCTGCTTTGTGCTCTGGGATTTGGCATCTTTAGAGGCAAACAAACCTTATCCAGTGCCCACAAGCACAATGGGAATAGAAGTCCCAGGGAAGAGGTGGCAATTGTCAAAGATTTGTTCTTATCTGTGTTAGAATGGGTCAGTAAGAACCTCTGTGTGTGTGGATGTTGGTCAAAGAATTTTCTTGAAATAACAGGATTTTCAGAATCTCCTTCCCCTTCTGCAGAAAAATGGAATAGCACGTCTTGATTTGAGGATGCTTTCTGGGAAGGTTCTTGTGAGGACAGGGAAACTGTCTGGTGTTTGGCAGGCAGGGAACTGCTGTGTTGGCTTGTCTGTTCTCCCTCTCCGCTTCCTGTGCAAAGTGATAAGCTTTCCTATGGAAAATCATTAACTTCTGGGGCGAATAATCAAATTATTTGGATGAAAATTTCCAACCCTTTCTGCTCACTGAGCCAAACCATCTGTGGCCCACTTCATGTCTTAGATGTTCCTGAATATTGTGATCAGTCTTGTGGGTGTGGAAAAGCTGCTGTGCCTTAGAGCTGGAGAATGGAACTGGGAGTTCAAAATGGAACTGAACAGAAGGGAGTACTACTCATGTGCTGCAGGATCTCCCTGTGCATGGGAGAGCTTTTTTCTCTCTCATTTTGACTGTGATGCACTTAACTTGGAAATGCTGTGCAAAAGGGCTTCTACATTCATCCTTGGTTTTGCCAAGCCCTCTGAGGTGGGGCAAGAGGTGTTCCTGCACTCGGAAAATATAACCCTCCCCTGGTGCTTGCTTCCCTCTGCAGATATCTGCACAAACCCTATCTCATTGGTGGGAAGAAGTTTGACCTGAGGATCTACGTTTACGTCACTTGCTATGATCCCCTCAGGGTCTACCTGTTCAAGGATGGATTGGTTCGCTTTGCTAGCTGCAAGTAGGTTGTGTGGGATGGCGGTGCTGGGGGCTGCCTCAGTGCTGAGGCATGTGTGGCTGTGGTACCTGCCTCAGCTGGGGCAAGAGGGAGTGAATCTGTATTTGGTGAAGCTTAAAGCTGTAGCTTGCTTCCTTAAGAAGCAGTCTGGAAACACACAGAGTCACTGCAGGTGACAGTGTTGAAAGGAAATGTGAGAGGGTGCTGCCTTCATCCACCTTTCCCAAGGCAAGATCAGCTCAGTATAAAGCAGTTCTTGAAATATGCTGTCTGTGCTTCATACTGCATGAGAGCTGGCATACCAGAAACTGAGATGTTTCTTCCAGTTTTGACTATATTGCCTTGGGCTGCTGCAGTTTTGTCACTGCTTTTGCTCACCAATGCTCTGGTCATTTCTTAAGAACATGCTGTGAGGGTGGGATTGCATGCCACTGCCCCAAGGCAGCCTGCTCTGTCCCCCATACTTTGTCCCATCAATTCGGGGCCCGTGGGGACACAGAGCTCCAGGCAGCCTGGGAAAAGAAGGGAGCAGGGCTGGTGGGTGGCCGAGAGTGGTCTGAGATGAGAACAGAGTTTTTGCCTGCCCCATGGGCCTGGAGGCAGCCAATTCAAGCTCAGACTGCTTGTGTTCCTATTGCCTCCTCCAGGTACTCCTCCTCGATGAAGAGTCTCAGCAACAAGTTTGTGCACTTGACCAACTACAGTGTGAACAAGAAGAACACAGAGTACAAATCCAACTCAGATGAAACTGCTTGTCAGGGACACAAATGGTAGGTGCTGCTTTTAGGGCACAGGGCAGCTCTTTCTATTCCCTGTTAAGTCAGCCTTTTTTCAACACTTGAAGGTGTTTCCTGTATCATCTGCTCCTGCTTAGGGAAAGTGGAGGAGCAGAGTGTTTTTAGCATGGGCTAGTATTGATGGAATCTGGATGGTCTCCCTGCCTTGTGACTCATCCTGTCCGCTGCTGCTTGGGCTGTGGCTGCTGTTCTTCCTGCCTGTGTCTGTGCCGTTCCCTGCTTCCAACACTGCTCTTGTCTGTGCTCATTCATCCCCTTGCCCTGTTGTGGGGGCGATGGGATGTGGTTAAAGTAGAATCTGATTTTTTGCTGTTGGAACTTGAATGGGTAATTGTGATGCTTAAAGTGGCTAGATGGGAGCTTCTGACCGTCTCACTCTTGACTTCCGTGTGGAGGCAGAGAAGGGGACAGTCCTGGTGCAAAACTGGTAATTTATGTGCTACTCAGTGTGAATGGGAGCAGCGGTGCCACTTCTAGGCATTTGGGAGGAGGGCTGCAGTCTTGCATGAGTTCCTGTTCCCTGCTGTCCCATGGGTGGACTGATCCAAGGCCCCAGACACTTGTCTCTGATTCCACAGTGGTGTTTGAACTCTTTTAAAAATAGTGCAGGATAGAGTTCTCAATTCATGGGCCTGGGCAGGGCTACTTCACTTTAAAGGGAGCTGCAGAAGGTGGTTTGCTGTGATAGGACTGCTTTCTCAGGTGTGGACCTGCTGTGCGGTGGTCTCTTCCTCCACTGGGACTTTGAGAAGGATCTGCTGTCCCCCAGCAGTTGAAATCCCATGGGGGTGAGATTGTGTGGGTTTTCAGTACCACCATGCAAGTCAAAGCTGGCTGCTCCCACATTAAAGATGAGAGTGGCTGTAATCCACTCCATCTCGTATGCAGAAAGCGTGACCTTTGAATCCCCATGGTCTCACTTGAGCAACATCTGAGCATCCTTGGCTCAGTGTCAGAATAGCTTGCAGCGCTTGGTGTGGTGTGGGAAACTCCTGTAAAAGCTGAGACGCTCCCCCCCTACCATCTTGTTCTCCACGTTTTTCAACAATTTTTCTCCACCCCCAAAACCTCAGTGAAATGGCTCTAACTAAAAGATTTACGGGAGTCTTGCTGGATTCATGCTGAGCTGCTTTGCAGTGCTGCGGGGGAAGGCCTGCAGGAAGGGGAGGTTTGCTGAGGACACGGAGGGGGAGGGAAGAGAAGATCTGGGCCTGACATACCTTGCTCGTGCTAATTTGGGACCTATTACTCCAGTGCTGGGACAAGTTACAACAGATTTATGTTCCTAGTAGCTTGGGCCTACAAGACCAGCGGCTGGGGAGGGCAGGAACCAGGAGCTGAGGGGTTTGAGGATGGCAGAAGGATGGCCATGCCAGGGAAGAGCTTTGTCAAGGCTCCCCTCTACTGCTTTCACTCCCCTAGCAGGGAGCTACAGAGCTACTTCCTTTGCTTTCTCTCTCCCAGGGCACTCAAAGCTCTCTGGAGTTACCTGACCCAGAAGGGAGTTAATAGCGAGGCCATCTGGGAGAAGATTAAGGACATCGTTATCAAAACCATAATTGCGTGAGTCCTGGCACCCCTTGCTCTGTGCCTGGCTGTGGGGTGCACCCTGGCCCCTCTGGCTCTCCAGTCCCCTCTCAGCCCAGTCCTTTTCTTCTTAATCTAAATGCTACCACTGCTGCTGGTTTCAGTATTTCTCTCTGGATCCTTCCTTTCATCCTGTTACTTAATGCTCATGCTGCAGGAGCTGCAATGGGTAAATAGACCTTACGTTTCCTGGGTCTGTCTGCAGTGCAGGGGGGGAGGCCAGGATGGTGCGGTGTACCCAGCACTCTGCCCAGCTTGCCACCTGCTCCGCTGCTTGGCCTGTGAAAAGAAGGTCCCCTGGTGCAGGATGGATCTTGTGTTCAGAGGTGGATCCTGCCTGACAGAGCAGGTATGCTCAGGATGCAATGCTGGATCCATACACACTGCAGCAGCAGCTCACAGGCCTGTGTCAGTCTCTCAGCCCACCCGCTCCTGCAGCATGTGGCTGCATAGGCTCTCAGGACCAGCAGCGTGTGCTGTGAACAGCCAGAGCTCTGCTGTCTGTTGGAAACAAGTGTTTTTTCCTTGGCTTGCAGATCTGAGCCCTACGTGAACAGCCTGGTGAAGATGTACGTGCGGCGGCCGTATTGTTGCCATGAGCTGTTTGGGTTTGATATCATGCTGGATGAAAACCTCAAGCCCTGGATCTTAGAGGTCAACATTTCCCCAAGGTAAAGTGGATTCTGAGCCACAGCAGAGTGCATAATGGCCTTTCTTTTATCACAAAGTGAATTTGGCCTGTCATGTCCCCTGAACCCTGTGCTGAAAGACTGTGGGCTTTGAAGCCTCTCTCTCCAGATTGCAGGAATCATAGTCCTCCCTGTCTGCGAAAGCAACATCCATCCGCAGCTCGGAAAGCTTTGCTGGGCATGCTCCAGCTAGAGCCAGGGAAGAATATGTTAAAAAAGGAAGGCCAAGGGGGATGTGTCATGTAGGGAACGGGTGATGGCAGAGATTTCTTCTTTGCGTGGGCAGAAGCGATCAGCAGCTCCACCACCTCGTGCACTGTTCCTTGCTTGCTGACGGCACCCGGCCGTGCGGTGTCGGCTGCACAGGCAGGGCCAGGAGCTGCAGTATGCCTGAGCACAGCCTCTCCTGCCTGCGAGAGTGGATAGACATGAGCTGGACACAGAGCTGTGGTCCCACACGGGGCTCTGGGGATGGATTTGCCGGTTTCCAGCAAATCTGGGAAGAGATGGAGAAATGAGCCATTTCTGATGGTTCAGGGAACAGCCCCCATTCAAGGAGCTGTTGTCAGGATTTTTCGCTCAGTATCTCATGACTGTAACGAGGCAAGGAACAGACTGGGTTTTGTATCCTGGTTGGTATTAACCCAGGAAGTCATCCTGGGGCCATGGGGCTCAGCACCTCCATTCTAGTACTCAGACTGCTGTGATGCTTCCTCCCCGCAGCCTCCACTCCAACTCCCCACTGGACGTAAGCATCAAGGGCCAGATGATCCGGGACCTCCTCAACCTTGCTGGCTTCATTCTACCCAGCACGGACAGCGTTGCCTCAAGGCCACAGACAAGAAGTGGCTCTACCTGCAGGTCAGCCCCCTTCTCTGTCAGAGAGGCAGGCTTTTCTCTTAGGGGATTTCATCTGGGGGCTGCTTGCAGCACAAGTACTGGTTTCTATGCTGTTGAGAGCCTGTGCTTGCTGGTCCTTCAGCTATGCGTCTGAGGGACTTGCATCATTGCCTGAGTATCTAATTCCTACAGTCTCTTCAAGGCAGAAGGATTTATGCCCTCTCTGCAGGTCCATAGTTGGAAGTGAGGCCAGCGTAATTTGTGCTTGCTCTGCAGTTAGTCGGTTGTGCTCTCTCCTCCTTCCTCCTGCCAGAACTAACACGATGCTGAGCTGCACTGCCTCTCCATTTACTTGGAGGTCTGGCTGGCTGTGTTGGGGCTGGATCCACTTACCCTCTACCCCAGGGCTGACGTGCTGCTGCCTTGAGCAAGAGGAGCACCTGTTATTTTGCAAAGGCCGGCATGATCTCTTCCTTAGGCAGGACCACAGGTGTCATGGGCTGTAGACCTATGGGTAGGGGTGTGCACAGTCTTACCTTGCAGCTAAGATGACTGTTTCTTGCATAAGGCTAATTCCTGAACGTGTGCCTACCCAGGCCACCCCTTCTTCTGTGTTTCACCGCAGCTTAGGTTTATACTGGTTTCAGACCTGATGGGGGGGGCAAACCAGTCCTGTTCCCTGCAGCATAGTGGCTGCTGGCCCTATGTCACTGAAGGAGCAGATTGCTGGGATGAGCACCAGCACGCGCTGAAGTATGGGCATGCCGAGAGATGGGACTCTTGCCCTCCACCTGCCCTGTGCCTTCAGCAAAGGGAGAAGCTTGGAGTGCGGGCCTGTTCCAGCCGGGGAGCTCTCGCCAGCTCATCTGCGGTGCTTTGATCACACGCTTGTTTGCGGCTTGCGACGGAGGTGCTGAAGGACAGGTGTCCTCAGAGGGACCTGCAGGGGATTAAGCGGATCCTTAACATGATTCAGATGATGCATTACCAGAGCTTCTGCATCCAGGGGCAAGCCTGCTTAACCATATCACCTGCCCTGGGAAGGGTATGAATTTTTTTTTTTTTAATATATGAGCATAATTCCTGTAGATCTGTATGTTCCCCAAGCGCCATGCAGCACAGCCTCGAGGCTCTGCTCTCCCTGTTTGGGCCCTCACACAACTAATTATTTTTGTAGCAGCAGACCAAATGAGCTGTGTTGATATAAGTGTTAAAAGATGTTGGACAAGTATCTCCCAGACTCTGGCATCGCCGAATGGTTCAGCTAGGTGCTTAGAATAGTTTAGATGGTTGCTGGTCAGATCATAGAAAAGACCAGGATTTCACATGACATGTAGAGCTGGAGCTGAATTCGAGTCTTGAGAGTGCTTGGATATTGCAGGAGGAAGTTTTTGATCTAAGAGTTCTCTCCATCCTTGCACAGTATCAGTACTGAGTACTCATACCCCCAGCCCTGTTGTTACAGTTAGGAAACTGTGTTCCAAGCAGGATGTAAACATGAGATCCTGCCAGGTTTCAAGTGCTGTGAATCGGGTCATGATATGCCCTTGGCCTGCTTGCATCCTCTGTGGGTGTGAGGTGACAGTTCACCTTTTGGATGAAGGAAGGCTGAAATGCCTTAGCAAGGAGCTGGCAGGGCCCTCCCTGTTCCCCTGCCCACATCCTTCCTGGGTCCTGTGCTGATGCAGAAGGCTGTGGGTGCATGACTGATCTCAGAACAAGTGAAATCCTTGGAGAAAGTGTTCTCTCCTCCACAGCATCTTGCTGAGGGTCTCACAGAAGTTACTGGGAGCAACTCTGCCATCACAGGACTTTGTCTTCTCTGCTTAAATGCTCTACTGCCTCTTCTTGTGTCCTCAGTGCTTTGAAGGAGAAGCCCAAGCCAGCATCTGAGCATTTCATAGCAGAAAAGATGAAGAAGGCCTATTACTTGACGCAGAAGATACCTGACCAGGTATGACACAATCTCCTCTGGTACTTGTGCCATCCTGCCAAGCCACTGTCCCAACCAGCCCCACATGTTTATCCCTTGTTCCTCTCCAGATTGTGCCCCTCTGTGGGGACAGTCAGATGATGGGGAGCACTTGGGCTTCAGTGGGTTACAAGACAGCTGGTCAGAAATAAATTGGTTTTGCTTAAGCCACTGTTGCACTGTCTCATCTTTACATTAAAATAGGCATGGTCTGAGTGGCACGTTACCCACCAGTGCCCAAACAGGGTCTGAGCATTGCCTGTTTCTCATCGTGTCTTTGTGCAGCTCTCGTAGCCTTTGCTGGCTGACCCCGTGCAGGTTAGCAGGGACGCTTGCCTTGTGTGCCACCTGGCAGTGTCTGTAAGGGAGGTTGGGCTGCAGAATTGGGGATCTCCTCAGCTCTGTGCAGTGTTGATGTCACCACTGAGTCTAGATTTCTTCATTTTCCGTATGGTCTGTGTTCCAGAGATCTTAGACACATGGAGACCTCTGCCTGAGGTTTGAGTAGCGGAGAGGTGGGAAGCGGGACTGACAAAAAATAGTTCAGTTCTCCCTGAACCTGAGTTGCTCTTGTCTGCAGGATTTTTATTCTTCTGTCTTGGACATCCTGACCCCAGATGATGTTCGCATCCTGGTGGAGACAGAGGATGAGTATTCCCGGCGCGGGCAGTTTGAGCGGGTGTTCCCCACCCACATCTCCATGCGATACCTGCGCTTCTTCGAGCAGCCTCGTTACTTCAACATCCTGGTGACCCAGTGGGAGCTCAAATACTGCTTGAATAAACGCAAAGGTAACTGCCATCTGAGAGCCTGGCACAGTCCCCTGAGTCAGGCAGGCTGCCTGCCGGCGGTTGTGGGAGACTTCTGAGCTATGCATGTTGAGGGGGGGCTGCCTGCCTGCCCACTAGTCATAGGAAATGTTATTACCCTCCCAGACTGCTTCAAATAGCATGAAAAGCTTATTCTGAGTTGATCAGAGGTGCTGACTGCTCTGGTAAATACAGCATCAACACTTCTAGATGCCCTGGGGCTGAAGCAGGCTGGGATTCTGCTTTCAACCTGTAGGTCTGATCTCTTATTGCATTCCTCTGCCCTCTTTTGAGGGAGAAACAGCCGGAGTCACTGGGCTTTGCTCCTTACCGGGGATCTGAGAAGTGAAGGAAAAATTGGGCCTATTCCCTGGTCTTCTGCTCCTTTCTAATTGATGAAAAACTGTCAATGTGCACACAGAGAAATTTTTCCTAAACACTAGAAATCTAGCTATCATTTCCACCTTTCCAGGACACAACTCTGTATTTTAATAAAAACCATCCTTTAATGAGGCATAGCTGAGCTGGACTAATTCCTTCTCACCTAGGGCTGCCTCTATCAGGGCAGCAGTAGACCCTATTTAGGAGAGAGAACTAGTGAGGTCTAGTGTGAGGGGTTAGAGAACATAAAAACAAAGAGGCTGTGGCTCAGGGCTCTTCATCCAGCATCTGATTTAGCTGGAGAGGCTTCTGCAGGAGCCAGCCCTCTGCTGAGGCGACCGTATGTGTGCTCCTAGCCTGGCTGTCATGCAGCAAAAAGCTTTTGTCACTTTTCACTGGTGTCAAAGCAAACATCAAAGGGATTGGTAACAGACTTTCACAGAGAGACAGTAACCTCATAGCCCTTTCCAGCTGCGCTGTCAGGATGTGTCATCCTTTGCATCACTAATACCTTTGCTGGATGCTCTCCTGTCAGCTGGAAGAAATATCCTGTCATCGTCCGCACTGAAGTGCTGCCCTGAACTTTGCTCAGGCCAGGGTCCTGGTTCAGCACTCCAGCTTCCCTGAAGCAGCCCAGCGAGCAAATTTGCTCTACCCCCTTGTTGCTCTTCACCTCTGAGCAAAACTTAACCTCCCCCAGGCCCCTTCCCATTGACATATGTTCCATGCAGCCCGCCTCTCTCCCCGACCAGCAAGGTGCAAAGCCCAGGCTGGTGCACAAAACTGGGGCAGGGCTGCCGAGCTGCCCTGCTCCCCTCAGCCCCCAACACGTAGGGTACTTTTCCAAGGTCCTGGGGCTTGCTAAAAGGTCACTGAGGAGCAGAGTTTGAACAGCAAAGATTCCTCCTATAGTCAGGGCTGGTGTCGTATGGCAAACCACAGTAACCCCAGCTGGACAGCATCAAGTTCCTGGCCATTGCTCTGCTGGTTCTTAAATCTCAAGGCACCTTAGCTTGTGCTATGGCTCTAAGGCTCTTAAAAAAGAAGACAGGAAGGGAGTAGTCCTGGATTTCTCAATATTTCTGGGTTAGCAGAAAGCAGGGAGCTTGACTGTAGCAGGGACAGCTAGCAGGAGGCCTTGGAGAAAGTGGAGCCTGTTCAGTGCAGTTGGACACATGGCTCTGCTTCGAGGTGACCTCCCTGTGCTCTGGAGCAGCACATCTTGTGTGCAGCTGGAGGAATGATCCCTTCCAGTCACACCACCAGTGAGCTTGGTCCATGCCAGCCTCACCCTCTGTCAGGGATGGAAACCAGGTGTCAGCCCATGTCGAGCTCTGAACATAGTGCAGGGAGGAGATGATGCGCTGGGATGCTGCAGCTGATCGGTGCTGTGCAAGGAGGAGGTTGCCCAAGCTGCCCTCCTCTGGGAAGGGGGCCGGTGACAGCAAAGCTGCTCTACATTTTCACTGTAGGAACTTTCACCGGTGCAGCCCAAATCAGGTGCTGCCGTTGGCAGGCACCGGCCTCAGGGGGACAGCCAGTCTGGTCTAATTCGGCAAATCCTGTGTTGCCCCAGTTTCCCTGCTTAACTGAGCCTGCTGCACAGTGAGTCTGGCTCCCTGGGAGAAAGGCAGGCACTGCAGCAGCCCACGTGCTGGTGCTCACTGGTGTTTGCTCGTACAAAGGGTGAATGCCCTTGGTTTACCCCACATTTGCTGGGGCTCAGGCACGTGTTCAAGTAGTTATTGCTTAGCATGTACTGCATGGTCAGTTCACTCCGTGCAGCATATTTGCATGCCCCAAGCTGGGAAGGCTTAACTTTCTGCAAACTTGGTCATTCATTCTTGCCTCTTGTCTTTTCTCTAACTTTCCAGGTCTGGAGCTACTGAAGAACTGGTGTGTCAAAGGGTACCACACTGGGGCAGGGACAGATTTGGCCCAGACGGTGCGTATGGCTGTGGGTAAGCTGGGGAGAGGTGGTTGGTCGCCTGGGCAGAGTTAGGCACAGAACCTGCTTGTTCTGCTTCCTGCCCTACCTATTTGCCCTCTTCTTCCCCATCTGCCAAGGCCTGCAGGAGTCTGGAAAAACCCACGCTTCTCTGTCTCCCACCAACACGAAGTTCACCCAGTATATCAGATCTGCAAGTATTTTGCATCTGAATATCCTTGGGTGCACTGGGCACAGCGCTACATTTGGCACCTGGTCTGCCCTTTATTCCCCTCTGTGAGGGAGCCATCTCCGTCTGTCACTCCTGTGCTTTACAGCAGGCTGATCCACTGAAAGACACCCACTCTTTTGACCTCGAGATGCTCTGCTCCCACTTACAGCAGAGGGATTCATTAAGCAGAGAGCAAAGACTGCTCTGTTTGCTATTCTGGGAACAGTCTGGTGGCAGTGACAATTCACAGCAGTGCGAGGCAGTTCAAGCTGAAGCACACTAGGGCAGCCTACGACTGAGCTTGAGGGATTTTTGCCATGACTTAAATAGCCATTTGGTTGTCTTTCTCTCCTCCTGCAGTGGTCGTTGCCAAAGTCTTTCTTCCTCCAGAAGAACAGCATTCAATCAAACGGCTTCAGCAAACTGGAACTGGGCAGACTGGGGTGAGTTTGCACGGACCGTGATGTGCATGATCTTCACAACATGGCTTTAGGACTGGTGTCCTGAGAGGGGACTGGCAGCAGGGAAAGCAACTTTGTTTAAGGGGAGAGGAACAGGTTGGCTTGCAGGCTCCGAAGCCAGCCTCCGCTCTCTGGAGAGCCAACTGGTGGGGCTGGTGTGATGTCTATGCGACTGGGCATGTCTCCTTGGCACTGTATGCCCAGCTCAGGTGGGAGTGAGGACCAGAACAGCTGGACTGGGTGATGTTTGGGGTTGTCATGGTCAGGACATGCTGACAAGATGTTGCCCACAGGGACCCGCACAACTTCTGTGTGCTCTGATGTGGCCAGCAGCGAGCAGAGGCTCTCAGCTGCAGCATGGGGCTGGAGAAGCAGTGATGCCTCCGCATCTGCTGCACTATGCCAGCTTCCCTGAGCAAAGCTGAGCTACAAAATGGGTGCTGCTGGCCCCAAAAGCTTCCTGCAGAGAGGTGGAGGACTGGGGTTTGTCTGGGTGAGCCAAAGTGGAGGGCAGGCACACCCCTGGCCTCTGGTGTTATTGGAAAGGGCATCCTTGCTCCTGTGCCTAGGCCAGGATGGAGTTGGATTTACGTGCAGGCAGGGAGATCAAGCTGTGACCTTGAAGTCCCATCAATGTTTTGGATGTCTGTTGTGGGGAGTGGTACTGCCTGGGATGGGAGATGGAGTAGGTGAGCCTGGCGACCCAGTCTCTGAGTCTGTGTATAATGATACTGCAGATGAATGTTGCACCATGGCCCTTTTGATCCTTTCTCACTGTCCCTAAGCAGCATGGGGTCTCCTTTCTCCTGCAGCACGCTCCTCCCTTCCACTGGTGAGGACCTCACAAGATGCCTGGAGCCCAGCCCTGCTCAGAGCTTACCTCTCAACAAGTGCACTGGTGGAGCTGACCAGAAACCTGCTGGCTGTCTCTCGGACACCGCCCTGGTGATGTGACCAGGCAGCCACCGTCCCTCCCTGGGGACACCTCAACCTACCTCAAAGGAAGAGACAGGAGCTGGCTCCGGAGAGCAAGGAATGTGGGAGCCCCCTGTGCTGCACACTTGCTTGTGGGGCTGTTTTTAGAGAGGGATGTTTTACTGGGCAAAGAGAAGAACTGCGTGACTTCCATTTTTAAAACAAATGGCAAAGCCTGGGGAAGTGGGGTTTGTCTGGCCTTTGTCCTAGGCTACTCTTAAAGCCTGACGTGGTTTCTTTGCTGTGTGGGAGCTGGCTGAGCTTGGAGTCAACTTGGCCTTCCCATCCCCGACCAGCATAGGCTGAGCCCTTGCTCACCCGTGTCTCTGTGCCCTTATCCTGAGCTGCTGGAAGCCAAGTCTACTCCTGCCCCCCTGCAGCCTGGCCCCTGGAGAAAAGTCCCCACCACCACCCTGCTCCTCTGGAAGGAGCAGGGCTTGGGACTTTCAACTGATCTGCTTCATCCTTTCTGAACGCCTGTGCTGACATCCTGCCCTCCCCCAGCCTCGGAGCCTGGGGGAGAACCTCAGGCTTGCACATCGCTGCTTGAGAGAGACCACGGGTACCACGGTCCAGTTTGCTGTGGGGACAGTAGGACTGTCGGGGAGGGACCATCCTCTTGAGCCTGTCGCCTGTCCTGGGTGACCTGCAGCATATGTGTAGTGACTGCAGGCTGGTGCTCTTCTCCTGGGATCTGCTCTCTATTTTCCCTTCATTTCTCAAGGATTTCTATTAAAGTTGGACACTCAGCTGCTCTCCTGGCCTCTGTCTGCCTCCGTTTCCCTGACCCATTTGCATCTGCAGGGCAGCTCGACTCTCCCCGTGCTTCGCCAGGCTCTGGTACAGGAAGGGTTCATGCCACCACCCCACCGTTCCCTTTCTGGAGCTGGGTGTTGTTCTTATTGCCCCAGGGCAGGTAAGCGTGCCCCCCTGCATGGGGGAGCCACTCCCAGCATAGCTGTTGGGGTCTGCCTTATGGCCTGGGACCTCTCCTGGAGATCATTAACCAAGGGGAACTGAGCAGCCCAGCCTTGTGGCAGGGGAAGGAAGGGTTGGGTCCCCTGAGCTGTCCCTTGCTGGTTTTGGGTTATGTTCCCACAGCCTTGCAGGGGGATGCTAGGCACTTGGGTGGGTTGCTTGGGGTCAGGGGGGATGCTGAGCCCCACGTGTGGGCCCTAGAGCTTGCAGAAAGGCCTTCTCTCCCCTTTCCTTGCTGCCCAGAGCTGTGCCCTGTTTCTCTGGTCTCCTTGGTGACAATCTCATCGCTCCTCGGCTTCTCTCCAGCACCTGAAAATAGCCTCCGAAAGTGGAGATGCCTGCTCCCTTCCCTGCTGCCAGCACCCGGCGGTGACCAGGCCAGAGCTAGGCTTTTCGGCTCAGCTCAGGTGTAAGGGCCCAGCCCCATCCCCTCCCCTGCACCGCTGTGGGACAGGGCTCACCCAGGACCAGGGCCACTCCTGTGTCCTCGTGTCACCCCAGTCCTGCTGGCCTGGCCCCAGCACTGAGCTGCCTGCCTTGTCCGTCCTCTTCCTCCCTGCCTTGGAGTAGCACCAGGGCACAGGGGCTTTGCTCCTTTGCGCCCTGCTACAGCCAAGGGTCCAGCTGTCCCTTGGGAGTCAGCTGGAGCCACCCTGTCCCCTTGGCCTGGCAGCCACCAACCTGCTCGCCCACGGCTGCTCCAGGG